GAGTTAACCAAAAGGGAGATTATTTGGGTGGGACTGATCTCATCAGGTGATCCCTTTAAAGGGACTGGGCTCTTCCTATAGTCAGAGAGTTTAGAAGTGTGAGAGGGACTGTTGAGGGGCCAGGATCTGAGAGTGGCCTCCAGGGGCTAAGAGAAGTCCCCGGCTGACAGCAAGGCAAAGGGACTCCATTCCTACTGCAAGGAAGGGAACTCTGCAGACAACCTGAAGGGGCTGGAAAGCATCACTTTCCCTAGTTTAGCTTCCGGACGAGGATGCAGCTGGCTGTTCCCGAGACCTGCAGCAGAGAATTTAGCCACGATGTGCCCACAGAACTGTGAGCTAATAAACGGGTGCGATTTCAAGTCACTACATTTGTGGTAGGTTTTTACAAAATAGAAAACTAATACAATTGTTCATGGTTTATTCAGGTTTTCTACTTCTGTCACTTTTGGTAACTTGCTTTTCAAGAGGATATATCCATTTCCTCAAAGTTTTAGCATCTATTGGCATAAAATTGTTAATAATATTCTCTTGTGATTCTAAAAACCTCTCCTGTCTGTAGTTGTGTTCCCTGTATTTTTATACTTTCCTGTGCATGTGTGTACACATGTATGCACACACAAATGTATAAGTGTACATGTGTGCATGCATGCCTATACTATGTTTATTTGTATATGTATCTTTTGTATGCATTGTACACTCTCTTTTTCTTGATTATTCTTGGCAGAAGCTTGTTCATTTGATTAAACTTTCAAAGATTCAGCTTTCTATTATTTCTCTATTTTCTATTTTCACCATGTCTACTCTTTATTATTTCCATTTTTCTATTTTCTCTAAATTTACCCTGCTATTCTTTTTTAAGATTGTTGAGACACAGCAATACTTGGTTTATTTATTTTTAATCTTTAAAAAAATAAAATCAGTTAAGTTTATAAATTTCCCCTAAGGCATCACTTGGACTGAACCTCACACATATAATATGTAGTATATTTGTTGTTGATGAGTTCTAAATATTTGGTAATGTCTTTAATTAATGAGTTATTTAGTTGTGCATTTTGAAGGTTTCTATAATGCAAGTTTTTTTAAATGTGGTTTTATAGTAGTATTCTTATTTAATTGGAGAAGTACGATAATATATGTTACTAAGTTTTTGAAATTTGCTGAGGCTTCTTTTGTGATGTAGGATATTTTCAAAGCTATTCCCATGTACTCCTAAAAGTATATATTTTCTATTTGTTAGGAACACATTTTGTTAGGAAAATAGATTATATATGATAGATAGATAGATGATAGATAGGTAGGTAGATAAAGGTAATATATGAAAGATATAGAAGATTAGAACAATAAGATGGATCAAGGTGCTAATTCTGTCTTGATCTTGTTCAGCCTTACTAAATTTTGGTGTTTAGTCTTTCAGGTTCTGATGAGAGCTTTGTGAGGACCTTCCACTATGTTGGAGGAGTTCTCATTCTTTTTCTTTATCTGTTTTGAATTTATGAGGTTTGGGTGCATAAAAATTAATGATGATCATATTCCTTGGTGTAATTTTGCTTTCAGTATTATGCATTATATCTCTCTTTAGCCTTAGGATTGTTTTTTTGCTTTAAATTATATTTTGTCTTTAGTGTTATATACCAACTTCCTTTTCTGTAGCATTTACTTAGTATATTCTTTTAAAAAATCTGTTTATTTTCAACATTTCTGTATTTTTTTTCAGGTATGGCTTTTGTAGGTGGCAACTTTTTGAAAGTTGGATTTTCAAAAGCTCCAATCTAATCATGTATGATTTAATAGGAAATGAAAATTCATTTATATTTCTTATTATTACTTGTGTGTTTGGACTTACGCCTAATATCTTATTTTTTTTTCCTCTTTATATTATTTCTTTGTTTTGGGGGAGTCTTTTCCTGACTTTTGTAGTGTGACAAAATATTCTATATTACCTGTTCCCTACATACCTTTTTCACCTCTGATGGTTTTTTTTTTTTTTTTTCGGTACGCGGGGCTCTCACTGTTGTGGCCTCTCCCGTTGCGGAGCACAGGCTCCGGACGCGCAGGCTCAGTGGCCATGGCTCACGGGCCCAGCCGCTCCGCGGCATGTGGGATCTTCCCGGACCGGGGCACGAACCCGCGTCCCCTGCATCGGCAGGCGGACTCTCAACCACCGCGCCACCAGGGAAGCCCACCTCTGATGGTTTTGAAATAGACTGTATTTCTATCCATTTACTGGATATCCTTAACATTTTAAATATATATTCATAACTATACATTTGTCTAACACAGAGGACAGAAAATTATAGCTCATCTGTCTGGCAACCTGTGCTTATAAAGGCTGGAACACAGCCTTGCCCATTCATTGACATAGTATCTGCTTTTATGCTACAACGATGGAGTTGAGTGGTTGTGACAGAGATTCTATGACTCACAAAGCCTAAATATTTACTAATGGCCCTTTTCAGAAAATGCTTGCCGTCCTCTGACCTAATACAATGAAGAGTGATTTAGCCTCTATAACATAATTTGATGCAACTGCACACGGAACAACCCCTTCTGTAAATATTTTTATTATTGCCTAGGCTGTTAGTTTTGCATGTAGAAAATAATGAAAAATTGGACACCATAGTTTTAAAAATCAACGATTAATTACATTTAACTATTTAAAAAATTTCTGTGCCTACCATTGCTGTTGTATACTGTGCTTTCCCTTTAGGTTCAGTTACCATGTTTTACTGAAGATCTGGGGTGATGACTTATTTTATCTCTGAAAATGTTTATTTTGCCCTCACTCTTTATTGACAGTTTAGCTGGATATAAAGTTCTAAGATGTCGATTATTTTCCTGCTGCTTTTTGGAGGTATTACTTAATTGTCTTCTAGCATATTTTTTTTTTTTTTCTGAGGTTAAGTTTTCTCTCCTTTTAACTATTCTTTTTTCCCCTAGATATTTTATCTTTTCTCTTTCGTAGCCTTTAATACTTCCTTTTTATGCTTGATATTCTGCAGTTCCTCACACCATTTCTAGTTGGATGTATTTTATTTACGTGATTGGTACCTTGTAATGCACTTTAAATTTGAGAAAGCAAATCTTTAATTCTGGAAATTTCTCATCTGTTATCTTTTCAAATGTTGCTCTTCACCACGTTCCCTCTATTCTCTTTTTCTGGAACGTACATTTGATGTGTGTTAGATGTATGATCTAACCTCCATATCGCTTAATTTGTCTTTCATTTTTTTTCTTTGTCTTTCCAATGTCTGTGAGTGATTCCTTAGTACTATTTCCTAAACCATTAATACACTCCAACTATGTCTCCAGCCTAGAGTATGATTATTATTATTGATAATATTTTAATAACTATTTGTTTATTTCCAAAACTTCTAGCTAGTTTTTAGAATATCTACCTGTTTCTGCCTATTTTTGTTTCATAATTTTTTTATTTCATCTGAACAAAATTAATCTTTCAATAGTTGATTTTAGTAGTTGAATATCACTCTTAGTATTGGATTTTCTCACATGCTATGGAATTTTGGTTTGTATAGATTGTCTCGTTGCCCTTCTTTTCTTCTCCCCTGACCATTTTATCTTATTTTTTACCCCAGCTGCATCTCTAATTTTATTCCTTGCTGCTATGTATTTAGAGTAGGGGGACCACAATCCTTTTTCACCAAGCATCCAGGGTGCATTTTAAAGGTAGAGCCAACAGGATTGTTAGTGAATTGGATGTGGAGTGTAAGAGAGAGAGGAGTCAGGTATGAAGTCTTGGTTTTGGCTTATGAAACACTTGACTAGTGCTGTTCACAGAGAGGGGGGAATACTGGGGAAGGAGCAAGATTGAGAGAAAGAATAAAAAGTTCTCTAGTCACCATCGTGTAACAACTCTGAACTTAAAAAAGTACGTGTTTTAATATTTACATTAAAGTTGTAAAAAGAATTCTTTAGTTTTATTAATGTTTGATATGCTTTTTTTGCTATCCAAGTGGAAATGGTAAAAAAGGCAGTTGGATGGATATATGAGCCCAAAGTCCCAGACTTGAGTTAAAGGTGTAAATCGGGAGTAATAAGCATACTGTGGTGTTCAAAGCTGTTGGGCAGATCCTATATGGTGTGAGCCTTGAGGCATCTAATTTTTCAGTCTGGTAGAGGGGGCAAAGCTTGCAAAGAAGACCTAGAAGAGACTCCCAGGATGTTAAGAGGAAAATGAGAGAATTGACCAATGGGCAAGAGAAGAAACCATTTATAGCAGGAGACTTAACCATTGCAATTGGTGAGAAGCCTTGACAAAACATTTCAGTGGAATGGTGCGGGTGAGAACATAGTTGGGCAAAGCTAAAGAGAGGCAGAAAGGTAAGGCAGTGGGGAGGCCAAGGACTGACACTTTCAATGAGCTTTGGAGTGAAGGGAGCAGAGAAATGTGCTGGGGTTGGAGGCAGATACGGAATTTTCTGTTTTGTTTTAAGATGGGAGACGTTGGGGTATGTTCTTACGCTAAGGGAGTCCTCTGAGCCCTCTATTCACTTTCCCCACTGTTTGTTCCTGTGTTCTCCTGTGGTAAAGTGAGGAATAGGTCATGTGGCATCTGTTCAGAAGTCCCTCAAGTTCCATTCTACTCCCGCTCCTGCTATCACCACCTGTCATGAGGCAGCTTGGAGTGCAGTTGGGGTTGCTTGGGGACATGGTTCAGGCTTGGACTCAATTCAAGGACAGATTCAAGGCCTGGCCAGGGACCAGAGACCAAGTGTCCTCTCGGGGTGATGCCTGGAGGGTTGGTTATGCTGGTAAAAGCCATTCCTAACATTGCTGGCGAGGACGTCTGAATTCAGTTCCTGGCCTTCCCTGCCTAGTACGCCGCCCCCGACCCCCACCCCCGTGCTTGGACAGCGGGGGACACAGGCACGAAGGTGTCACTGCTCTTGGAAGACAGGACATGGGTGGTGGGAGGGGCGTGCCCTCTTCTCAACTCCATGCGGAAGCCCTCACTTCCCCCTTGTCTTTGTTCCTGCCAGGATCCTCGCCACAGCTGGCACTGACTTTGACCTGCGAACCCTGCGGGCTGTGCGTGTGCTGAGGCCCCTGAAGCTGGTGTCTGGGATTCCAAGTGAGTCTGGCAAAAGCAATCAGGCCCAGCCTACCTGGACACTGACCTCTCTCCCAACCCCTGTCATGGCCAGTTAGGCCCTAACAGTGGGCCCTTTGGTGACTCTGAGCTCGCTGCCCTTGACCCCGGGGAACCAGGCACGAAGAAGGGAGGAGCGGCCCTTCTCCAGTCTCTCCCAACTCCGTGAAAACCCAGAGGGTAACTTGGCTTCCCTACGTGGAAGCTTTGATCCTCCTCACACACCCTGCTGTACTTCCAGCTCTTTGCTGCTTTTTCTGTGGTTAAAGGGCAGGTGAGAGATCGACCAAGGTGGTGGGGCAGGATGCCTGAGAACACATGCAGAGGCTGCAAAGGACCACCTGTCTTGGCTCAGGCTGGGCAGGGCTGTTGGGACCTGTGACCTGGTTAAGACATGCTCCGGGGCTGGGCTGCTCAAGAGGCCACGCGAGGGCAGGGGGTGGCCAGGCTACCTCGAGAGCCGGGCACCGCCTGTGCCCGTGTTCCTCCAAGCCAGTGGAAGTTTGGGTTTCCCTCAGAGCCTGGGTGGCAGGGCCCTGAGGCTGTGTCGCCCGAGCCCACTGCAGGGAAGACCGCTGGCTGGCTCCGTGTTCTGCCCTAAGACTCTGCCAGGCAAAGGCTCAGGCCTGTACCCAGGAGCTGGGGTGAAGCTGGAAGTGGGGACACTGGGGTTCAGCCTCTTCTGCCCAGTTCCTCTGGTCTGGACATACTCATGCCCCACAGTCAGTGGTAAAACACTCCCTAGGAGTAGGCCCCCTGCTTTACTTTCCCTGAGGGGTGGGTCTGTCAGGAACCCCTGCTCTTAGTTCCCAGGATCCCTTGCTTGTCCCTCCCAGTATCCCCTGCTCTTAGTTCCCAGGATCCCCTGCTTTTCCCTCCCAGGATCCCTTGCTTGTCCCTCCCAGGATCCCCTGCTCTTCCCTCCCAGTATCCCCTGCTCCTAGTTCCCAGGATCCCCTGCTTTTCCCTCCCAGGATCCCCTGTTCTTCCCTCTCAGGATCTCCTGGTCTTAATTCCCAGGATTTCCTGTTCTTCTCTCCCAGCATCCCCTGCTTAGTTCCCAGCATTCCCTGTTCTTCCCTCCCTTGATCCCCCGCTCTTAGTTCCCAGGATCTCTTGCTTTTCTCTCCCAGAATCCCTTGCTTTTCTCTGTCAGGATCCCCTGCTCTTCCCTCCCAGCATCCCCTGCTCTTAGTTCCCAGGATCCCCTGCTTTTCCCTCCCATGATCCCCTGCTCTCAGCTCCGAGGATTCCCTCATCTTTCCTCTCAGGACTCTCTGCTGTTGCTCCACCCTGAGACCTGCATAGACTCAAGATCTCACCAGAACTTCATGCTGACACCGCCACACGCTGCTCCTCCCTTGAACTGGGACAGTGCTCAGTCCACTCCCCCTGCCCCGAGACCCTGTGCTTTGTGCCCCTCCCCAAGGACTCTCAGCTCTGCCCCACGCAGGCACTCCCTGCTCTGTCCCCCTTCCCTCAAGACTTCTTGCTTCCCCTCCACTCCCTGCTCTGCCCCCGCTTTGAGGGCCCAGCTCTGTCCTTTGGCCTCGTGGATACTCATTGCTCAACACCTTGCCCAGGATGCTCAGCCCTGCCCGCCCAGGCTCTTGCTGTTCTGTCCACGCCCCCAGCCCACTGCCCGCTCTGCCCACTGTGCTCTCTGACCTGCCTGCTTTGCCTGCTCTGGCCCCAGGTCTGCAGGTGGTGCTCAAGTCCATCATGAAGGCCATGGTTCCGCTCCTACAGATCGGGCTGCTTCTCTTCTTCGCCATCCTCATGTTTGCCATCATTGGCCTCGAGTTCTACATGGGCAAATTCCACAAGGCCTGTTTCCCCAACAGTACAGGTGAGGCCTAGCAGCGCTCCTCAGACCCAGATGAGGACCACAGACTCATTCATCCTGGAGAGATGCAGTGTTCTGGGCCCTGGCGGGCGGGGGGTGGGGGTGCCCTCCAGATGCCAGACGAAGGAGGTGGACCCAGACAAGATAAACACAAACACATAAAATAATGTCAGATTGTAGTAACTTCTAGGAGGGAAACAAGAAAGGTACTTGCAGTAGAGTCATTTGGGGGCCTGCTTCACAGAGCGTGGCCTGGGGAGGCCTCTCTGCCAAGGTGACAACTGGACAGCCATCTGAGTGCCGTGAGGGGGGGCCTGTGCGGTCGCCTGCCAGACGGTCCAGTTACGAGGAGCAGTAAGTGTGAAAGGCTGGCGTGAGGAGCGCTGGGTGCAGAGGGGGCGAGAGGAGATTGGCGGATACTGAATCTGCTCCTGTTGGCGAAGACTTAAAGGCTGTACCAGTCCTCTGATAGGATGAAAAGCAGCAGAAAAGAAACATCTAGTGAAAACGTAGCTTGGACTAGAATGCTTTCCTGGTATCAGAGACAAGCTTATCAGTATGTTTTCCTGCTGGCCTGTTACTGACACACCGACGACGTTAAGTGGCATTTTCTTTTTTTTATTCCTTAAAGAAAATATACTTCATTTCTACAACTATAATATTGAATAAAATGATTATTTTTCACAAACCCCTTAACGTTTTTTGGAGATGACATTTCTGACCTTCAGAAGTTAACGTAAGATCAGGAAGTGAGATCCCATAAGCTGAGAACTCTGGACAGCTCAGCTTTACCTGTGGTAAAGCAGTGGGCTCAGGCCGTGCGAGGACTCTGAGCCCAGGAGAGATGGTGGCTGGGGCCAGGCTGTTTGGCAGTTGGAAAGGGTCAGGTTCTGGGTCTATTTTGCATTGAGGCCTGCTGAGCCAACTGGGTTTTCTGGGCAATTGTACGTGGAGTAAGAGAAAGGGAAGAGTTAAGGGTGACACTAAGGTTTGTGTCTTTTTTTTTTTTTTTTTTGCCCACATTGGGTCTTTGTTGCTGCATGCGGGCTTTCTCTAGTTGCAGCGAGCAGGGGCTACGCTTCGTTGCGGTGCACGGGCTTCTCATTGAGGTGGCTTCTCTTGTTGTGGAGCACGGGCTCTAGGCGTGCGGGCTTCATTAGTTGCAGCATGCAGGCTCTGTAGTTGTGGCTCACAGGCTCTAGAGCGCAGGCTCAGTAGCTGTGGCGCACGGGCTTAGTTGCTCCACGGCATGTGGGATCTTCCCGGAGCAGGGCTCGAACCCTTGTCCCCTGAACTGGCAGGCAGATTCTTCACCACTGCACCGCCAGGGAAGTCCAAGGTTTGTGTCTTGAGCTACAAACACGTTAAAGGAGAAAACCTGTGTGATCATCTCAATAAATGCAGAAAAAGTTTTTATTGAAGTTTAAATCATTCATAATTTAAAAAAACCTCTTATCAAAGTGGAACTAAAGGGGAATTTTCTTAAACTCCCTAAAATTCCCTGCAAACATCATACTTTGTCATAAGTTTTGTGAGCTTTCCCTTTAAGGTCAAGAACAAGATAAAGACACACATGGTCACTTCTGGTCCACGTAGCCTTGGTGGTCGCGGCCAGTAACATGAGGCAAGAAAAAGCACCCTGTCAAGAATGTGAAAGGAGGAAAGAAAACTGTCATTATTTACAGAGAATGTGATTATTTACACCTAGACAGACAATGGCTTCCTGGTCTTCTTTATGAGCATTTGTTAAGGTATTTGGAGGGAAAGGAATAAACTTGTGTGATCCTCAGTTTTGCCTTCTAAGCCTGGGAGCATTTGCTTTCCATCCTAGCAATTCCTCAAAATTTCTCCTGTGTTGATAGGAGGGATTTTCCATGTGTGGTCATACATTTGTTTTTTTAAATAGTGTTTTCTATCCTTTCGTCAGGATTTTGGGAGTGGAGGGATTAACATGTGCTGCTTGCCCCCTTATCCCAGAGATTAGCCCTGGTTTTCTGCGATTTCTTTAACGTCTCTCTGTGCGGTCCCTGGCTGCCGGCTAGACTGCAGGCCAGCAGGAGCTTGTCCCCTTTGCTGGGGCCAGTGCCGTGAGGACTGGGCCCTGAAGCCCGGCCACGCTCTGGGCCCGTGTTGGTAGACCTGCCTGATGAGCACCGAGACCGCAGTGCTGAGTCCTGCTTGGCTCTGGCTCCAGCGTGACAGACAGATCTGCCGTCGGGGGAGTCTGGGTGGAGGTCTGGCTGTGAGGGAGAATCAGGGTGTTGCTGGTAGGGAGAGTCGGAGGCTAGGAGTCTGTTGTTTTTGGTTTTAAGATGAATGAGTCCTCAGCATGTTTACATAGTGATGGGCAGTTCTAGTGGGGAAGGAGAGGTCGACCAGCAGTTTCTGAGAGGGTGGGTCTGAGGGTGGCGGGGGGCAGACCGTAGGCACGGGGACAGAGCTGGCGCAGGTGCAGGAGCGGCAGGGAGAGTTTCCCTCGGTGCCTGATTCCTGTCCCACTGTGATGAGGTCTCTGGGGCCCACAGTCCCAGCAGGGGGTGGAGAACGCGGTGCCTCTGAGCTCAGCTTTGCTCCCTTCTTCTCCTCGCAGACGCAGAGCCGGTGGGCGACTTCCCCTGTGGCAAGGAGGCCCCAGCCCGGCTGTGCGAGGGTGACACTGAGTGCCGGGAGTACTGGCCGGGACCCAACTTCGGCATCACCAACTTTGACAACATCCTGTTCGCCGTCCTGACGGTGTTCCAGTGCATCACTATGGAGGGCTGGACCGACATCCTCTACAACGTGAGTTCTGTCTTGGCCCTAAAGCTGCTGGGGCCCCGCTGACGCGGAGCTTCTGTTCAGCCCCAGGCTCCCTCCTCGCCCCACAGGATGGAACACAGGCTCCTTCAGGCAGCTCCGCCTCGGGGCCACTGACCCGGGTCCTGGAGTCTCCGGGACAGCTTTTCTTATGAGAGTAAAGCTGAGGGCCAGGTGGTGGAGGTCAGAAAAGAAAGTTCCGGAGAAGGTGCTCCTGCCGCCGCTGCTGACGATGGCCCACTGCGTGAAGAGCTTTGTCCCTGTGAGCTCGTAGACGATGGGAGAGAGGCTCGGAGAAGCTAGCCAGCTGGCCCTCGGCCCGAGGCAGCAGGTGGCTGCCTGGTGAACAGGGGAGGAGCAGGGCTGAGCGCAGGGAAGCTTCCCTGACTGCGCCAGGGTCCTGGTGGTGGGAACGGGCGTCGTGTACCTTTGTTTCCTTCCCACTAAGTCTACCTGGTTCTCTTTCCTCCAGTGTTCCCTGTCGTTAGGATGCCAGCCCGTCCCAGCAGTGTAGGGCAGTCTGGGGGTTGGTGCCTGTGACAGAAGTTGGGTGTAAGGCCTTCGGGGGCTTCCTGGTGACCCATCTCACTCCCGCCTCCCCTCCACCTGCGGCTCTTCTTGGGGGACCTGCCATCGACTCCTGGGCAGACCTCTCTCTCTTCTTTTTATATGATGACCCCCTACTCCTACAGAGTCACCTTCTACCCCCTAGAGTCCTGTGAGCTGTGGGCATGAAAATAATTAAGTTAGTGGAAGTAAAGAAAGAAGGTGCACTTGAAACAGGAAGTTTGGCAGGTCTGGCTGGTGGACTGCTGTGTTTTGGTAGCCAGAGGGTGTGTTGTGCTCGGGGGCTGTGGAGGGGGTGTCCTAGAATGTGAGGTACTTCACTTTGAACCTGTCACCTGTGCGCTGAGGGTGGGGCTTGGGCCACCAGCCCCCGGAGCAGCCACACGCTTCTGGCTTGAAGGTGGGCAGGAGGAAAGGGACAGCCTGGGGCCCTCTGCTCTCCGGCCCTGTGGGTCTCAGGGCTGGAAATCCAGCAGGCGCTCGGTAAGTGCTGGCTGAGCAGGCGGATGGCAGAGGGCGAGTTCAGGAGGAGCCAGCCTGAGGTCCACTAAGCCAGAGCCCTCCTTGGAGCGGGAGTTGCGTCTGGTGACGGTCTCGTTTGATCGAGGAAAAGAGGAATGGAGACGAGGGCGGTGACGAGGAGCTTGGCTGTTCTCTCCCTACAGCCGATCCAGGAGCAGCCTCCACAAAGACGAGCCCTCAGCACAGCTGGAGTGGGCCACGTCCCTGCCAGGGCGCCCGAGCGGGGCGCCGCGTGAGCCGGTCTCCACAGCCCTTTGTGCCATGGGGCTTGGCCAGGTGACTCAGCCTGGTAGGCCTGTGCCCCCAGGGGAGGGATGGGTAGGAGCCAGACCTCGGGGCAGGAGGTGCCGGTCAGGAAGCGCCACAGAGGCTCACCCGACACATATTTCCAGGGGACCCACTGGGTGCAGATGCTGCAGGCACAGTGGTGGCAGGAGGCCTTCAATAAATAAAGGCCTGGTAATGGCAAGCTGCTGTGAAGAAAACAAAGGCGGACGAGGGGCAGGGGCGACAGGTCAGGGGGCGCTGGGAAAGCAAGGCCTGGTGGGGTCTGGAAGCCAGACGGGCAGACGCGATGGCACGGTGCCGCAGAGTCTGGCGGCGGGGCACCGGGACGCAGTGACGGGCGACGCAGTGATGGGCGTGGGTCGTGAGGCTGGTGCCCAGAGCCGCTGGCCAAGAACTGTTGGATCCATCCTCCACACTGAGGGATAACAGGGTTGGTTGCAGGAGATCAGACAGGACTTTGGAAGCGGATTCTTTGGAGGGCGAGCCTGCCACTCCCCCCGCCCAGTGAGAGGGACGTTCGTGGTCCCCTCAGACATATGCTCCTTGACGGAGCCCGAGCGACGTGCCTTCAAGGGCTGGAGCCATAGGCCTGCCGCAGCGGGGCTGGTGGGGCAGGTGAGCACATCTGCAGTCTGGGGAGAAGCCAGGGCCCTTTTAAGTCCTGGCTGGAGGGAATGAGGGGGGGTCTCGAGAGAGACCCAGAGACCGACTGCTAAAACACTGGCGGTAGTGGGCGGGTGGGTCCTCAGCCTGGAGGAGAAGTGGTCTGTCTGGGTTTTGAAAAGTGTGGTCAGATGGGGTCCTGGAAGAACACACAGCAGTGCCGCCAGGTCTGAGAGGTCTGAGCACACAGCAGTGCCGCCTGGCTTCGATAGCGTTGAGGTCAGTGACCCAGGAAGGAGGAAGAGTGTGTGGCGTCGGGAGCAGAGAGGGGCCACACCGTCCTCTCCCTTTGAGAACAGCCAGCTGTGCAGGCCGGCTGAGGAGAGAAGATATTCTCAGTGTGAAGCACGTCAGCGGGGCCGGGACCCTTAATTGTGTTTTATACTTGAGGTGGCTGTAGAATTTTCTGTTACCCAGAGTTGTCAGAACAGTCACAGGACCGATCCCCATTTCCATCCCGGGCTATGTCTACGTTCAGTGTCGACTTAAAAAAAGGCACAACGTGAGAGCTGCGAGTTAAGTTTTATTTGGGGCAAAATGAGGGCTGCAACCCGGGAGACAGCATCCCAGATCGCTCTGAGAAACGGCTCCACAGAGGCAGGGAGGAAGGTCAGTATAGATGTGGTCTGGGTGAAGGGGGAGTACATGCAGTCAAGCATTATTTTTTGTAGAAGGTTTCTGCTCGTCTCGTGCATGTCACTGCCAGTCATGAGGAGCAGACGTCGCCGTGAAGGATTTGAGTGCTTGTCTAGATACGAGGAGGTACAAGAACTGGGCTCATAAAATTGTCTCCTGAAAATATCCATCTATCGGAAGACCTGTTCTGCCAGTGTTACCCAGAGCCCAGAGTGCCTCAGTTCAGCTTTTCAGGGGCTGTTGCAAGGCAGCAGCCGCAGCAGCGCATGATTTACTCCTTGTAGAGGCAGCTGGCAAGTGACAATGGCGAGCGCCAATTTGTAGCTGACAAGAGGAACCGTAGGAGGTAAATAATGTGGGCTTATGGTTACATACATGTGGTTCTGCATCTGTTCATTGCACTAGTTTCGTAAAGATCCGAGGAAGGCGCGTTCAGATACGTAGGTGCAAAGGCTCCGTTTTGAAGTGAGTGCAGACACAACCTGCTCATTGGTTGGATGTGATGTTTAATGTGAAAGAAAGAAGAATCAAAGATAGTGTGACTGGAGCCGTTGGGAAAGGTGGTGCCTTGTATTGAGAAGGGGAGAATGGGGAGCAAGGTAACTGCGGATTTTTGTTTTAGCGGAGCGTCATGGTGGAAACTGAGAACCCTGCTTTGGCCCTGGAAAGCCTTGGACAACTGTTTCATCCAAGTGGAGATGCTGAGTGTACAGTTGGGTATATGAGAGGGGGTTCGGGGGGACAGCAGGGCTGAGGGTTTGAAGTCATGGATGATGCTTAAAATTATGGGAGAGGATGAGATCGCTTGGGTGTGGATGTGTGGATGGAGAAGCAAAGAAGGCTACAGACGGAGCCTTGTCTGAACCTTTGGCTGTCAGGAGAATTCCAACATTCAGAAATCAAGTAGGAAAGAAGGATCCAGCAAAAGAGAGCGAGGCGGGGACTTGCGGGGAGTAGGGACAGCACTGCAAGTGTGCTGCGTCTTGGGAGCAGAGCAAAGAGAGTTTCCAGAAAGTGACCGACCAGATCAGCTGTTGCTGAGAGGTCGCAGGCGCTGTTGGTAAACTAGACAAGAGCGTTTCGGCAGTGGGGATAAAACCTTGGAATGTATAGGTTAAAGGCAGGAGGTATGGAAGTGAGGACGGCAAGTATAGTCATCTCGTTCAGGGGGTTTCCCTGTGAAGTGGAGGAGGGCAAGAGGAGGTAAGTGCAGGGAGACGTGGGAATTGGCTTTTTTTTTTTTTAATGAATTGTAGGTTCAAATGCAGTTGTGAGAAATAATGCAGAGAGAGCCCTTGTATGCTTTGCCCTTTTCCTGTAACGGTAACAACCTGCAGAACTAGCTGCCGGAACCAGGGCAGCGACACTGCTACAGTCAAGGCACAGGACGTTCCATCACAAGGGATGCTGTGCCGCTCTCGTATAGCCATGCCCACTTCTCTCCTGCCTTCGCGCCTGGTAGCCACTGATCTTTGTGCCGCGTTGATAATTTTGCCGTTTCGAGAATGTTATGCAGATGAAACCGTTCCCTATGTGACCTTCGGGTATTGGCTATTTTTCACTCCGCATAACACTCTGGAGCTGCATCCGGATTATTCTGTGTGCCAGCAGTTTCTTCCTTTCTGTTGCTGAGTGGTGCTCCAGGTGTGGGTGGACTGCAGTGTTTAATACTCACCTGTTAACGGACATCTGTGTTGTCTCTGTTCAGGGCTATCAGGAATAAAGTTGCTCTGCACATTTGTGGGCAGGTTTTGTGCAGATGTAAGTTTTCATTTCTCTGGGTTAAATGCTCAAGGGTGCAATTTCTGGGTTGTATAGTAGTTGCGTGTTTAGTTCTTTAAGAAATTAACGCTTTCCCAGAGGCCTGTATTCTTTTGCATCCCCACCTGCAGTGTATGAATAATCTAGTTTTTCTGCATCCTCACTGGTATTTGGTGTTTTTAACTTCAGCCATTCTGACAGTGTGTAGAGATGCATCTCAGTGCACGTCCTAATGGCTGATGATGTTAAGCATCTTTTCAGACGTATTTGCCGTTTGTGGGTCTTCTTCAGTGAAATATCTCTTCATATCTTTTGCTCATGGTCTGGATTGTTCTTTCACTGTAGAGTTTTTATATATTCTAGATACATTCTAGTTCTTTGTCAGATGTGTGGTTTGCAAATGTTTTCTCCTAGTCAGTAGCTTGTCTTTTCATACTCCTCACCTGGTCTGTGAAAGAACCAGCGTTTTTAATGTTAATAAAGTCCAGTTTATCAATTGTTCCTTTTGTGGATTGGGCTTTTGGCATCAAATCTAAGAACTCTTTGCC